ACACCTGGACAGGTCTCCAGTTCAGAGACACCTGGACAGGTCTCCAGGTCAGAGACACCTGGACAGGTCTCCAGTTCACCAGGGACACCTGGACAGGTCTCCAGTTCACCAGAGACACCTGGACAGGTCTCCAGTCTCCATCAGGGACACAAAGAGACAATCAACCATCCACACTCTGTCACACCTGGAGTCACACAGAAGAGCTCCAGAAGGTTTCAAACTGAGAACTCTGGACTCAGATCATCTGCTGCACACAGTTCTGATCACTTATTATCATTAATCATTTCATTGATAATTATCATGAGGAGTCCTTAACTAGGATGTAGTTAGGCAATTAAATATTCATGTTTGTGTAAATTTATTACTATAATTGCAGGTGAGTCACGTAAATTTATGTTTAAAACACCCCCCATTTACTTAGTTAGTTAGTTAGTTAGTTAGTTAGTTAGTTAGTTAGTTAGTTAGTTAGTTAGTTAGTTAGTTAGTTAGTTAGTTAGTTATGAACACTTCAGTATTACATACATGCTACTGATAAGTTTGGCCACAAGATGGTGCCAAAGAGGACTGCATTAAGATTTGAGTTTTGAAATCTACCTAAAAACAAACTTCAGAAATGATTTGTTTTATTCAGGTGAGTCAAATAAAATCATTTCACCAACTAAGGCCTAACATATTGAGAACAACTTCAGCATCAATTTAACAAAACTGACACACTAGAAAAAAAATAGCAAAAGGCACAGCATGGCAAAAATATGATTAGATATGAAATGAAACAAAGTTGAAGCTCTGTAGGACTAAATATATTGTTTTTTATAATGCAGATGTTTCCATAAGCGTTTTAAATTATGTCTCACATTGTGTTAGACGCTGAGTTCACTTTAATCATTACACATAATGTAATTTATTTCCTGACATCATTCTAAAACTAAACCTTTTATGTTAATGCTCAGTTAGTTTTTTCTTCTTAATTATAATTAAACTCATCAACATACAACTAAAACTCTACTCCTAAATTAGTAATAGGTAGTAGCAGAAGATGTCTTTTGACATCCATTTTCTCTATCAAAGTTAATCATAAGTAATCTTAACTCAATATCTTTGTTTTGAACACATATCCACCACCACTCTGATCATATTTCTCTCCTCATCACTCCCAAAGAAGTGAAGAACGATCATCAATGGTAAGAGTTTTATGAAGTGAATCATTAACTCATACCCGCTTCACGCTCAGAGAGAAATATCAAGTCTCTTCATCGTGGATGGCGAGACCAGACACTTTAGAAACACATTTCTCAAGTTAGAAACTATAGAAATGATCCCTGAAAGTATAGTCTTATCGAGTAATTGAAAGCGAGCAGCAAGTGATTCCTGGAACAACCTTTGTAAGTCAGGGTGCTCCTCTATTTACAAATATCCCGAACACAACATTTGATTAATGATACTCAAATACAAATGTCTGATAGCATCGCTTAAGTTAAAATCGTTCGCAAAGATGTTTATTTATTTTGTAAAGCAAACTTCTACATACCCAGAATGCTTTGCGAGAAGCAACACGTCTGATAAACAGCTTAATTCACATTATCTGGCTTTAACGTGTACATGAGCCACCGCTGTCACTTTTGCCTACATATGATAAGCATAAAATTAAGCAAACAGCTCATTGAACGTGGTTATTTTTATGTTTACATGCGACACACGCCGCTCAGTACGTTGTTTTTAATGTTCCGGACGGACAGAGGGCAGAGAAGAAACGTTCCGCCTAAAATGCACAACCGCGCCATTTAGTTGTTATAAATCGATAAAATGTCTCAATTTTTAAGCGTTAACCTCAATAAAATCCCCATAGACCGTCAGCATCATATCTACATCTAGCTAAAGTGACAAACAAGTAACACAACATGTGATTATACAATGCTTTACTCATATTGGAGGTTTGAGTTTGAGTACTGTAGTTTGTCTGGTGTAACACATGGGGTCAGCATTTCATCACTCGGTTCATTGTGCATGAAGAACACAATTTATTTACTATTTATGTATTTATTTTCGAATTCTACTCGATTTTTTATTTATTTTATGTTATTATTATTATTTTATTTTTACGAATATCACAGTTTCCGGTCAGTGCATCTTTTGGTCACTGGATTTTTCCTTATAAAAACGGGTTTTAAAGAACAAGAAACGAGTGACTATTTGATTTTTGTTTTAAAATACAGAAATTAAAATACAAAGTATGGACCCTTTCCTTTCTTAGTGTCAAAATTTTATTTTGAAAATACCCGTTTCTAAAAGGAAAATCCAATGACCAAAAGATATCGTGTGTTGAGTCTTGCAACAGCAAATAGTCGAACCGGAATTAATAGTCTGAAATTGTTTCCTGAAACTTCAACTTAATTAAAATTTTGGAATTCAAAAAAGTACAGCAAACGCATTAATCCATATTTCCTTTTTCGCAACATTTGCTAGTTAGCTAAAATTAGCTATGCTGTTATTTCTACATCAATACTCGTCAAAATACCAGTCAAACAATTGTTGTGTTAACTTTACCCTTTACCCCGGACAGTCTTTAAGCTTACCTGTGTAACAGACCGTGGTAGCAGCCATCTTTTCTGGGAAAATGTAAGTTTTTTACAGAAATAAAAGTCCTTGAGGTACAAGCGTCCTGCTGTGAACCACTAACTTAATGCGCATGCGCAATGAACACCACAAACTGGCATTTCCAAAAGTTTATTCGTGCATGAAAATTCATCAAATCCACGAGACACACGTTTAGTGCAAAAATGATTTATTTTTCTGTAATGATAAATATTTTATTAGTTATATTAGACCCTCTTCATCCTTTTACTATAGATAAATTTGTTATAGTCACAATACATTAAGTATATAATTATTACTTTGGGCAACATGAAACACAGTGCTGAATTAATTAGTGTAAAATGAACTTTTTTTAGATTACGACAATGTTTGCAAGGCACGGCATTCATGCAAGTAAAACTTTAACATACCAGACAACATTTAGGAGAAACTACTGAGATTTTTTCCAGTTTTATCATGTGAAACCCAAATCAGAAACATTTTAAATGCAGCCATAACAAAATAATAACAAAGGATTCCCAGGTATAGTAGGAGTGTGTACGCATTCTATCTCTTTTCACTACAAAACAAATGTCAACATGGAATCAAACTACATGGGAGTAAAGACTGAGATGATTGAAAGTGAGGTAAAGAAAATAATTTTGCAAAACAGGAAATGAACTATAAAATTTTAGTGTTGTGCAGTTTATAATTTTCATTTCTGTTATTCATATCACACGTATGTTACAAACACAGGTAATTATTGTGCTTTCTTTAGCTGGTAGTTTGATGTGCGGCGTTTGCACTACCATTGAGTAGAAAACCACATATTTGCAAAATATAAAGCTCATTTGAATCATGTAACTTTAACATTAGAATGAAAAAAGCAAGGATTTAAATGAATATTCAATTTTAACTAAATCAAAACACTGATAGCATTGAACAATCTCATGCTTATCCCATCTATTGGCATTAGATTCAAACGTATAGCAAAAACACAAAAGTCTGCTTAATACGGATAAAAACATGAGTCAGTGTAGTCATGCTTGTGGTTATTTTCTGGTTTAAAGATTGATTAAAGATGTACTCTTGGAAGCACAATGCTGCTCAGTTGGGTCGCTGATATTCTGCCATGTTTTTGAAGACTTCTCCTTTTATCTCATCCAAAGCTGGTGCACTTGTCTCTGCGCCTCAGTCTGAACACAGCTGGAGAATGTTGACCCTTCACCTGGTGAACAGAGCAACCACAGAGACTTCAATACCTCAAACCAGTTCTTTCAAATACATTCATGCCACACGCTAAACCAAGTATCAAAAACTCGTAGGAAACATTGAGTTCTAAAAACAACTTATTTTGAATGTATTAGAAGCAGACATTGAATGAATACATTAAACAGGCAACAAGTGAATCAATAAGTCAATCAAACAGCTAAATTTAATTCAAAGTGACATATTGAGGGATGAACTTAAGTAGTTCTCTACAACACAAATTCAAGAAAGTCCTGATGCATCTCAGTAATCCAGGTAAAAAATCTAAAAGAAAAAAATTGTGTAGGTCTTCTGGACGGGTTCTTCTCTAATGAAACGTTTCGTCTCTCCTCCAAGAGACTTCTTCAGTCTGAGAGTTTCAGGCAAAATTCAGGCTTTTAAGCCCTGCCTCCATGTGACTGATACTCACATCACATGGCTATCGTTGACACCTAATTAACACCTATTGTTAACAGGGGGTGGAGTGATACTGGCAATGGCCGCGCTGTAGGAGGGGGACAACTGAAAACGGAGGCCTCCACCTCTGTTTAATGATGGACGGTCTTTCTTCACAAAAATGGCTTCTTTTACTCCTCTCTCAAACCAACGTTCCTCTCTATCAAGAATGAGAACATCCTCATCTCTGAAAGAGTGACCGCTGGCCTGTAAATGAGTGAAAACTGCAGAGTTCTGGCCAGTAGATGTAGCTCGTCTGTGTTGGGACATTCTTTTGAACAGTGGCTGCTTTGTTTCCCCGATGTATAACTGGTCGCAGTCCTCCTGGCACTTAACAGCATATACAACATTGCTCTGTTTGTGCCGGGGCACCGGATCTGTGGGGTGAACCAGCCTTTGCAGTAATGTGTTTTGGGATTTGAAAGCCACTGGGACATCATGTTTAGAAAATAAACGTCTCAGTTTCTCCGAAACACCCGCAACATACGGAATAACCACTGGTTTGGGTCTGGGTTTGGGGTCTTAATTTTCACCTGAAGGTTGCATGGAATCCTGTCTGTGTTTCCTGTCTGCTTTCAGGAAAGCCCAGTCAGGATAACCACACTGCTCCAGACTGTCGTGTGTGTGATTTCTCTTTCTGCCTGGCTCCTGGGTTTGTAGGGACACTGTCTGCTCTGTGGCACAGAGTCCTGATCACTCCTAACTTGTGTTCCAGTGGGTGGTGGGAGTCAAAACGCAAATATTGGTCTGTGTTTTTTCAAATTCAAGAATGTGTTAAAACTATTTCTATAAATGAATAAAAACAACATATTTTGTTTGCTGTAGTAGTTGTTATTGTTACTTATCTGCTTGCCAGCTCCTTCTTCAGACACGATCTAAAGGAGGACGCTCGCTCCACTGCTTTATAGCCCTGAGATGTCAGAGATGGTTATCATGACAGAGGGTGGAATAAAGAAGAAACACATGCATGAGGTGGGGAAAATGAAGGATGAGCCCAAAAAGGTGAGGGGATATTGATAAAACAAGTATGGTTTAAAAAGGAAATTTTTAAATCCAGGCACAGGAACAAAAAAGAAAGGAGAAAGAGGACATTTTTAAAGAGCTAAGAAAAAAAAAACCTATGTAATGAACAATCTAGTTTACAAATTTCTACAGGGAAATTATATTAATATATCATCTTATGAGGTTGGCTTTTAGCTATTAACTGTTGCATTGAGTTACAAAAACCACCAGGTGGCAGTCAAGCTTTGTGTTTTATTCTTTTAAATTTATTGCATTTTAACAACATCTCTATTGGTCAATATAGCAACTTCATTAAGTGGAAATATTTTGAAATTGTAAATTTTGTGCTATGTAAGGAGGCTGACATTTGAACCACTGCACAACCAAATATTTATTAAATATTTTTCTCATTGTTAGCTATTGGCATGCACATTTTTACACGGTTTAGACAAAATTTTCAAATGATTATGCAACTTAAATTGGGTTAACTGAAGTTTTACCATGTTAATAATTTGCAGGAAATACAGTCACTGAAGGTATCTTTTTTTACTGTTTTGTATTAAATAATTTTATTAAATGCACTTTGATCAAGTTTGTTTCCCAAGCTACAAGAAAACATATTTTAAAGTTTTAATTCTTACCCGACAAGTGTTATCCTATAACACAACATCAAGAGGAAGTAAATAAAGGCTGTTTAAAGTCAACTGTTTTCTCTTATTGTTAACTTAAATAACAGTTTATTTTTTTTGTTTAACCAGTAAAGTCCTTAAACTTAAATATGCCAAAAATGTGCCACATGTTTTTCGATTTTTTTAAGCAATCTAAACATTTTTTTAAGGTAAATAAATGTTTTTATGTAAGATGCTTGACCTCTAACTATTCTCTGAAGGAAGCAATCTTTTCATTGGAAATCAATAAATCTTTACCCTTTCTTTATCTTGTTGTTTCTGTCATTTAATTTAATTTATTTATTTATTTACTTTAGAAGAGTTGGCTTTTAGACAAGCGACCGCTTTTCCTGAAAATGCTGAAGCTTTCTCACCCTGGCTCCTCTGTGCAGCCGGTCCTTCATGATGCCAATGAACTCCTTGTAGGAGAGCTGGTCATCATGGTCAACGTCAAATATCTTGAAGATGGTGCTCACAAGGTGACGGGTCAGCTTCAGCCCCGTGGCCACGTACACCGCTCTAGCAAACTCATCTAGTAACGGGGGGGAACAAAACAGTATTTAAAGTCATAATTCTGACTTCATCAAAGACTAGAAGACAGAAGCAAGGACGGTTTCTGCTAACCTTGTCCAATTGAACGTGAAGCAAAGTTGTACATCTGCATGGCAATGGCAAAGTCTTCAAGGTTATTGAGAAACTGGAAGAACGATCGGAACTCATCGAAGGTTATTCCCTGAAACACGGAGAGAAACGTTGACTCAGAAATGACAGGGAAGAGACGTTCTGGAGAAATGCTTATTTGCAACAAAGATGCTTTCGAGTTCAGGATTATGGTTGTTTCAGGCTGTTGCAGACATTTGCAGCAAGATGACATGGGTGGGGGGGTGGGTGGTCATATGTGCATATAACATTCCTCTGAGGCACAGTCATATGTTTGAGAAAAGAAAATAAGGAAATAACAAAAATCATGCGATTAGTCAGTAACTTAACACAGTCTGATAACTAGTTCTAGAACAAATGTGTCAAACTTAAAGCCTGCGGGCCAAATATGGCCTTTGTTAACATTTCATTCGGCCCCATAATAATAA